CGATTCTTATAATCAATTAAAAAAACAAAATAACAAAATTAACGAAAAACGCGTATCTAAGATCCCCGTTTTTAAATCTCCGATCTATATCAAAATCCCAATCAGACACACTAAGGACAAACCAAAATATCAAAAACACACTATTATCAAACAACAAGGAAATCAAATTTTAATCAAAGATAGAAAACACATGCTGAGGCGAATCAAGCCTCAACGTAAAAATCCTTTACAGAGCTCTACCAGTCCAATGCCTACCAATTCGAGCGCTACTGATGAACCCTCTGCTCAAAGCACCTCCGGTAATCAAACTGCCGCTAGGAAATTCAAGATTAATCGAAAATCGTCATAAAACTCAATTCCTTATTAATTTAAATTATATAACCAATCCAAAACTACATGCAAATCAACACGCACTGAATCTACAGAATTAAAAAGTTATTTTCTTCTGTAAAGGTTTGCAAGGCACTTTTGAGCACAATACTATCAATATCCAAGAAAACATAGTTTCTGTTACACAAAATATAGCTTTTGAAATGAAATTCTTCGAGCAAATCGTACATCAATCAATTCAAATTAATCATTTGAGCGTCCTATCCATTCTTTCATTAAATCATAGGGAAATAAATATCCTCATTGAACATTTGCAAATTTTATACCATAAAGATCATCTGTTAGATTTTGAAACAATGCACCCTTTTGAGATACTGAATCTTTGCGAACTATCAATTGTAACTTTGCGAAATGAATCATATTCGTAATTCATGTACCTCTTCAGTGTTTTTGAATTGTATCCGTTAATTATAAGGAATGAATTAATAAAGATCCCAAGCAATTTTACTTTGTAATTTGAAGAAGAAAGATTTTGCTCCAATTTAATCAAACAATCCGCATTTATGTTTTTAATTGCTAAACATGGCACATGTAAGCCATCTATGTTGGAAAATTGTCCTCATATTCACTTAAAATACTATTAATACTAATATTTCAATTGTTATTAAAGACTGCAAGCAGATTGAATTATCATTGCCTTTACTTGAAAGTAATTTTAGCTTTTTAAATCCTTCTTATTACCAAAATCATTTAGAAATAATAGTTCATACTAAGTTGCAAAACCTTTCTTACGAGTCTTACAGCTTTGGAACCATATTGTAACTGTAAATTAAATTTTCTCTAAGTTGGAGACCAACTTTTCGTAGGAGGGAGGAGTTATGGAATCCTGATGGTAACATAACTATGCGGTACAAGACCATTATTCCAACAAATTAAATTGTATGGCAAGCAAGCCCATTAAGAAATATTTGCTTTTTACTTCTTTTTTTCGATACAGCTCTGTTATTTTGCCTATAAAGATTAGAATTATATCGAGGCACAGACAGATTTTGTTCAATACTTGTAACCACTCTTCGTTCCTGCAATAAAGTCTGTTATTTTTTACCATACGACGTGTGCATTCTTTATCTTATATTCTGCCAAAACTTTTAGGACGTACGTTGTATAGCGACGCTTGGAAAGTTTCGGATTACCGAGTATTTCTCGAGACACACCAAAGAATTTTATTTAATTAATCACAGTCTCGCCGGGAATTTTTTACCCAGCCCAACATTAAACAGATGGGTGAAGGTCGTTTATAATGGGGAGCTTCTCGGATCTCTGCTGTGGAGCATTGTGTAGTGAAGTGTAGATTTAATTGAGGTTCTTCTTATCAAGCAACGAATTGAACGAATCGAGTCAGTTTTTCTATATAGCACCGGCGTTTTTGAATTATGAACATACAGCTTACAATGTGCCTATTTGCTGGTCAACTTTTCAACGAGTACCTCCGGAATTGGCTTCTATATGATACGATGTAAGAAATAAAAGTAATGGGAAAGTAATGAAGCTGTACTGTACTTAGGGCGTACGTTGTTGTAGAACCTCAGACCGCTGACTTTCCTCCAAACGCGTATACCCAAAGATGCAATATTTTATCACAGCAACAAAAGAAGTACCTAACCTTTCCTACCCTGGTGTTTGTAAAAGCTTAAATTATGCTGTTCCTATCTATCTATCCGATCAGTCTCTAAACACCCACTCTCAGATATAGGCCTCCCCTGCTTTTTTCCATTGTCGGTCCATCTCCGATCTTTCTCTTTTTCTTTTTAGTCCCTTGGTCGTCAGTGGAAATTTCGTTTAATTCCTGAAGTGTTTAGGGCGAAGCTCCGTTTAACTTATGCCACCTGCGTTGATACATCATTCGTTTTCGTTTCTTCTCTGATACACCAGCTTCTTTTTTTGTCTTTGAGCCCGATACTCGTCATTGCCGTTTGTGTTTTAGATATCTTGATAACACTCCAAATTGTAAATCTGTCTTTGGGAGCTATATGCAAAAACATGTAATACACGTATGCACAGGTTGAAGAGTTTCGTTTGCACATATTGAGAGTACCCTCTGTTTTTTAAGAATAAATGATGCTCATGTCAGTCTGGTTCTCCCTTCATCCCCCAAGCTTGATTATTCCTGTTTAAACCACCGAAGTGTATGCATCCTGTCATCTATTGTAATTTATTCCATTTGACTAGTACTCCTAATTCGTCTTCTTGGATTGTGATAAATATAGTTCCACTAAAGTACATCTTTGGATCTACATAATACGCTTTTTTGTCTTTAACTATGTCAATTGGTTCAAGAGTTCTTCGTTTATTCTTATTCCACATCTTATCCATCCTAATATTTTAAATACGTCCTCGAATGCCTGATCAAGCAGTTCTAATTTCATTGGTTCTGTAGTGGGTTTTTACGTAACTTTTTATGTGTCTGTTTCATATTTGCATATACAGGGTGTTCCTTAATGATATGCGAATATTTAAGGGTGTGACTTTACATGAAATATTATTGTTAATTTGCTTTATAAACTATGGTCCAAAAACGTTTCCTTACAAAAACTCGGGCTGTTGAAGTTTTAGGAAAAAGATGTAAATCAATTAAAATTTTCAGAACCGCTTTTTTCAGAAAAAAGTGGTACGCCAATCGTTTTTTGCCGTATAATTCCTCGTTCAATTTAAAACAAATGATTTCTATTGAATTTTTTTCCTTCGATGCGCCATTTTTGAGTAAAAAGATAAAATCCGTTCTATTGTCCGAGAACATTAATGTAATAATTGAAGAATGCAATTTAGCAATATATATATATATATATAAGTTATATCCATCATCACCGTGTATTTTATATAATATTATAATTATTACCTGGTACTTGTGTTTCTTGCTAGCATTGTCGCTACGCTATGGAATCTTATCTCGCGCCTTGAAGTTCACATGTTAACATGCTCTGTATCAGCATATTATATTTCTACTGCAAAAGTCCTTTTGTACCGTTAATCAAAATAAAGTTTTTTTAAAAACAAGTATTTCGGTGGCAGTAATTTAGCTGGGGGCTCAACCGGGATCCCTCAGCGTATCGCGAAACGTGAAACGTGCACCTTCGGCCTCCGAATTCGAGGCAATCGAGCAGAGTATGGGCCAGCCGAAATCACCAGTCATAGACGCGCGAACTTTCAAGTTCTTAGAGTGATCCACAACCAGCAACAACAGAGTTAAGGTACTAAGGACCAGCAGCATTGGGCGTCGGCCCTAAATTCCAGAACTCCCGAAAACCTTGACAATAGAAGCGGTTCAGCTAGGAGAAGAAAGAAGAAAAGGTAGAAGACGAAGGTTTTTTCAACGTTTCCCATGAATCTTTGGTGTGTGGTCGTGTTGCTGGCAACCCTATGGCTGCAGAGTCTTCCGCTAAGGCTTCATCAAGTCCCAACCAATAAGGGTTTCTACCCGGAGCTGTTGGGGGACGCAAAATTAATAAGCCATTATCATACGTCTATTTTTAGCCATAATCTCAGCTTAATAGCTGATGTTATTAGACAGATAGAAGTTAGTTATAGTATTGTAGTAAACCGTTCTAATGAGATCAACCTCAAACCGGTACTAGAGGACCTATACAAAAATGTTAATAATGTAAAAATGGAATATTTAAAATTATCACCTTATCAGTCACACAGTAGAAGGTGTCGAGCAATTATTAACGGATTTGGCAGCATAATTAGGTATGTGACAGGGAATTTAGATCAAGATGACCTTACAGAAATCAACGATAAATTTCAATCGTTAAAAGGCAAGGAAAACGAACTTATAATGCCAGCTATACACGTAACGATATACTTGTGCAAGCTTAGACTTGCGCAAACACACATCATCCTATCTCGACCGATCATTTTTGAGAAAGTCATGGAGCAGGCGAGTTGTGTTGCGACGATGTCATCCATTGATGATGCTATGGCGATAGTTGGCTTGATAGTTGCTACAAAAAACTGAAAAGATCTAAAAGGCATCGAGCTATATGGTGTAAGGACTGGTTAATGAAAAGAGAACATTATTCACACATCAATTTAGTGAACGAGTTGAAATTTGCACCCAAAGACTGGCATAACTACCTGCGTATGAACGAAGAAACTTACTTGAAGCTTCTATCGATGGTTACTCCACTTATTAAACAGCAAGATACTGTAATGCGAAAAGCTATATCGCCACACGAAAGATTGACAGCAACTCTGAGGTTTCTCGCAACTGAAAGGAGTTACGAAGACCTAAAGTTTACAACAATAATATCACCCCTTCACATGTGAAGCGATATACAAAGTACTGCGGAAGGATTATTTTAAGATGAGTAAAAGGTTTTTAATTCTTAAACATTTATTGACAATCATTGAAGTTGGATTTAAATGCCCCGGCTGATTGTTCTGGAATAGATAATTGAACTTCAGTATGTTCAGTCGAATGTAGTGAATCCGAATTGTACTGCTTGGAAGGCGTGGAAGAATCATTACATTCTTGCTCGATGCGTGGCAATGAAGATAGAGTTGATCCTAAATGCATGAACTGCTGTGAGTGTTGTGTTGGAGGACTTAGAATTGGGGTTCCTTGGTTAAACTGTTGTGAGTGGTGTATTGGAGGACTTGGAGTTGGGATTTCACGAATGAACTGTTGTGGCCGGTGTGCTGAATGACTGGGAGTTGGAGTTGCACGAATAAACTGTTGTGGCTGATATGTTGGAGGACTGGGAGTTGTACATTGAACTCTCCATGTGGCAGTCTCGAGTTGCCCATTTCTGCTTGAAATAATGAGTCGTTTATAATTTTTTCAGCAATCAGCCTTTGCTGTATTGGTAGATCGCGCGATTTCATTGCGACATTTTTGCCAAAAATATCAAATCGGTCTTCGCTCAACAGAGGACGCTTGAAATGCTATTTTACGACTTGTAATACGTCGGTAGATAAATCTGGTGGATCTAATGAATGAGCATTACTGTCACTTCTTCTTTTGGGTGGTCTAGGGTGACTTGATATTTGTGAAGAGGTACTAGCTGTTTCCGGAGAATTATCATCTCTATCTTGTGATGGCAAAACATCGCTGTTCATTGAAGCTTGTATGGTTTCCTGGAACAATAATTGTTATTTTACTTTCTGTGCTTTCAGTTTCCACAAACAGAAGATGAACGGAAAAATATAGCAAAACATTTTGAAAATAGGTAGAATTTTCCACATTGCCTTGGCGCCATAGACGGGAAACACATAGACATTATTCCTCCAAGTGGAAGTGGCTCCTATTTTTATAATTATAAAGGTCGACAAAGTATGGTACTTCTTGCAATAGTGGATGCTAGGTACCAGTTTATAATGTGCAGCTTTGGTGTTAATGGCAGGATATCAGCCGGAGGTGTGCTTCAGACTACTACATTTTATGACAAGCTTCAAAAACGCCAATTAAGTATCCCGTCAGATGAACCTATAAAAGAAAGTTCCAAAATACTTCCTTATGTATTTGTAGCCGACGATGATTTTGCTTTGAGAACAGATATGATGAAACCATACCGACAGGCAGATTTAAATTCTCGCGAAAGAAAGATATACAATTACCTAGTATCTCGAGCGCGGCGCATTGTAGAGAATGCATTTGGAAGCTTGGCTTCTAGATTTCGGATATATAAAACTCAAATTAATCTAGAACCCAAGAACATTGATAAGGTGGTAATGGCAAGCTGTGCTTTGCATAACTTTTTAATGTCGTCATCGAATTCTTATAGTTCTGCAGAATGTTTCGATCACGAAAACCTAGAAGATGGAACTATTACATCAGGTTTAACATCACATGATTCAAACATGGAGCCATTATATCGACGAAACTCTGGAAATAATGCAACTGCTGCCAAAAATGTTAGAGAACAGTATGTACATTACTTTAATAACGAGGGGAGTGTACCTTGGCAAGATAACTTTATTCCTAAACACACAGAGAAATGTTACCTTGTAAATATTTACATTAAATAAAAATATAATAGCTAATTTCGTGTACTTACTTCAGAACTATCATCTTCGTCGATGTTGGAACGACAAGACCTTGGCGTTCCTTGGTCGTCATCGAGAAATTTCAGTAAATCATAATACCATAATCTTGCCACATAAACATCATTGGTGCCTGCTCCAGATCGGCTAGACTCTTCTATCTTCTTCTTTTCTTTACGGTAGTTGGTGCGTAAGCCATTAATTTTTTTAACTATCATATCTCTTGGTTCTATTTTCTTATACAGTTCTACTAATTTGGTTTTTTTATCTCTATTATGGTTTGTTCTTTATTTGCCAGAGGCATGGTTCATTTCTGTACACATTTATAAATTCTTCCAAATTTTCTCGAACTCCACGTGTCTCACTCATTTTGGTGCTGAACAACGCAACGCGTGTGTACAACCAAGCAGCAGGACATCGCTAACTGCGAACGCTCGTTGCCACACACGTTCAAGTAAACTTGCGCAAACGTAAACTTGCACAAGACTCGGAACCGAAAATTGCAACGTTCTTGCGACTTGTACAAGTCTAGACACTTGCGCAAAAATCTTCCAACACACGCTACAGTATACTTGTGCAAGTCTAAGTTTGCGCAAGTATATCGTTACGTGTATGGCTGGCATTATGGCCATCAATAATCAAAAATCATTCGCTCAGCTCATTTCACAAAAATTTGAGAACGATATGAAAGTCATTTAAAACAATGTACAATTGCTATCAGAAACTGTCAGGAAGTCAGTTTATGATTACGAATATGAAAGTTCGATTTTTAGACTATTTATTCCTTTACGAGACATTTTAGATTATCTCAGACTGATCCAAGGCACAATATCCTTATCACAGAAACAGATGACAAGTGTAGCTAGTTTTAGTCTTAATGAACTGATCTAGATTGAAAATTACCTAGGATCTATTTATTCGAAGAAAAATTTGGTTTTGTTATATGAAACTCACCCTTTCGAAGTTCTTAGCCTGAGCAGAACTGGTGTTATTTATACCGATGATATCCTTCTATGTGCAGTTGAAATACCAATTCTAGATATCACTAAGTATAAATTATCAAAGTTATATCCTTTGTTGACCAGTAACATAATGTTAGTACTTTTTCAACATGAATATTTTCTACACAATGAGGTATCGATTAAAAGTTGTCCTAATCAATGTAAAAAATTCATGATTCGATTTATTTGTGAATCTGCAACCAATCAAAAATGCACGCCGCGATCAGTTGACCATTGTAATATTGTAAAGGCCAGGAATTCCTTAAGTTTATCATATTTGCTTGAGAATACTGCAGCAGTATTATTTTCTAGTAACATCAAGGTCACCGTTTTCGAAAAATGTGATGGCGGAATCAACCCTTTTACTTTAATTCGTAACTATATTGTTAGGAATAACTGCACACTGGTTATAAACGATGTTTCATATGTCCTTCGTGACACTATTATCCCAGTGGAGGCCTTAGATTTTAATATTCCCAATCTGACTTTGGGGCCAACGCACACGATAGATATTTTCCACATTAATAGCAATGATCTTTCAGATATTAAGGAAAATTTGCACAAGATGAAAGAAACTATACCAGTTAAGTTTAAAAATTACCATTCTCATTTAAATAGCACTCTTATAATAGGTGTATTTGTTGTTATATTGTTTGTGGTTGTGGTAAAATTAAAAAAGTTCTGTAACGATAAAAAATCATCTCTAAAGTCAAATCAGTCTATTGAGATCGATAAGAACGAGGACGTTCTAAGAGTTTAAGGGGGGAGGAGTTATATCCATCATCACTCTGTATTTTATATAATATTATAATTATTACCTGGTACTTGTATTTCTTGCTAGCATTGTCGCTACGGTATGGAATCTTATCTCGCGCCTTGAAGTTCACATGTTAACATTCTCTGTATCAGCATATTATATTTCTACTGCATTGTACTAAATCCATGAGTGGGGAAATCTTGTCACTTCTTGTCTAACCGTCCTGTTTTACGCATCGTCGTGACAAGGTTTCACAAAAGTCCTTTTGTACCGTTAACAAAAATTAAGTTTTTTTAAAAACAAGTATTTCGGTGGCAGTAATTTAACTTATATATCGATAAATTCGTGGTGGGAGGCTTTCAAGTGAACACCCTGTATATGAAATTGCCGATACGAATTGCCCATACAGTTCGACCTATGTCAATTGTAAGGCTAATAAGGGTTATTTTTAGTGAATTGAGAAAGCAATACAATCAAACACCCTGAATTATATTCTAATTATATCAAAGTTCCTCTTTTTGAGGCATTCAGTTCCACATGAATCGTTCAATAAATACATTAATTTGTTATAGTCTGAGATATTTGGAAAAGTGGTACTCCACATTTGAAGTGTTCGATATTTCCCGTGAAAAGTGCAAACATTGCACAATAAAACATATCAAATAAACGACCTGACGTGCTTACACTAAGGTGAGTATATGAGAATTTGCTTGTAGAAATGAACACATATAGTTCGTGTATATGGTCTCATCAGACCTTTACAAATTTCTTATACATCTCTGACCTGTACTGTGTCACCGTTTGAATCAAATGCTGTGTCTGTCTTAGCTTTGTATTTGGAAATCACTTAGAAACTAGTCAAGTCGGGTATGTGACTGTCATACATTGCGCTTTAAAGTATTACTGCCCAAGTCAGCTTTCGACATCGATTACGCACACCAAAATTTGCACAAGTATACCAAATATACAGCTACGTGTACCGACCATGTCATTCATGTGTAATAGTACCAAACAAGTGATACAAGACTACTTCTCAACCATCATTATATGTGTCGTGTGTTCAGTCATGCAACGGCACACAAACTCATTCGAACCATACTCCCGATTGTGTAGACCAAACTAACGCGCGATAGGCCAATAATAATAATAATAATAATAATAATAATAATAATTTATTTGTCAAATTCAATTATGCAAATATAAATTTTCAAAGACTGTTGCCACAAAGGAGTATCAATGACAAATAAAAGTAATGCCACGAAAGAAAAATCTTGTGTGTGGCCATCCCATTTATTGTCAGTTGTCTATCCGCAGATATAAATAAAGTCTATCAAGTACTTGCTAATGCACTATGTGCACTTCTTACGCACGCACTGACATAATTTGGTGTTACACGATCACTGGTAGAAATGCGAAAACCTTGAACTGACATTGTGGCACTTTAACTAAATTCAATAATAAATAACATAAATCAAAAAAAGATCTAAGATAAAGGACAATGAAAACTAAAATGACATTACAAAACTGGTAGTTGCATTTGTGTTGTGAGCAATAAAGACAAGGATATATCAAGCATAGAATAGAATAAAATTAAATGCCCATCATACATGAGATACGGTATAAGCATATAAGTGACTACAATAAAACATAATAAAATCTAATAAAATATAATAACGTACAATAAAATATGATAAAATAATAAATTAATAGAATGGAGCAATTATTCTAAAAACGGTGACTTCATTTGGGTTGTGAGAGTGACATATATAGTGCTTTGCCTTCTATATAATCATGTATTATGCTCCTGGATATACCTTTCACCCAGACTGAGATTTTTTTCTTGAATAAAGCAATGTTTCGTATTAACTTATAATCAGCAGGCATTTCGTTGTAAAATTTGGGGCAGAGATAAATCCAGGAGCGTTGCAATAATGACTTTTCCGGCCTAGGTACCATTATGTGCCTAGCAACTTTCTGGCGAGTGTCATATTTGTGAGCGATTTCCTCATGAAATGATTTATTTTTAAAGTAGTATACCATGCAATTATAAATAAAGGTTTGCCTAATGTCCATAATTCCAGACTCATGGTATAGCTCGTCAGATGGATGAGTTTTGCTCTTGCTATAAAGAATTTTTAATAAATATTTTTGGGCAATCTCCAAGTTCCTTATGTAAGTGAAGCCAGCTCCTCCCCAGCCAAGTATTCCATAGCAAAGATGTGACTGCACAAGTGCGAAGTATAAGATTCTCATGCAATCTGTATTAAGGATGTTTCTAAGACATTTGAATTTTGGAATGAGGCATCTTATTTTCTTTGTCACATATTCGATTTGAACATCCCATCTGAGATTTTGATCAATATATATTCCCAGATATTTAGTGCTGCTTTGACGTTTAATGGTTGTCGTATAGTTTCCTATTCTGACATTTATTTCGTTATATTGTGGCATATGGTTTCTATAGGATGCGAAAAGTACAAAACTAGTTTTCTCAGAGTTAACTGTGAGTAGCTTAGTGTTGAAATATGCTAGTACGTTGGTGAGATTATTTTCGATTTTATTTTTAAGTGCGGGCCAACTTGAGTCTTCATAAATTATGACAGTATCGTCCGCGAATCCTAACACTGTACCTCCCGAATCCATTGAGAATAAATCATTAATATATATATTAAATAATATTTGCCCAAGAACAGTTCCTTGTGGGATCCCATAGCATACGTCTTTATAATGACTGGTCATGTTATCTATTTTGACACACTGCTTTCTGTTATTTAGGTAGCTCGACATTAAGTCTAAAGTAGTTCCCCTTATATCGCTAAGCTCGAGTATTTCCAACAGCTTGTCATGACTAATGGTGTCGAAAGCTTTGGTTAAGTCTATAAATATGCAAATGGCAGGGATCTTATCGTTAACTAGTCTGTACAGTTTTTTGGATAGTGTAGCTATTGCATCTTGCGTTGATATGCCTTCTTTAAATCCAAATTGATTTTTATGTAACACGTTATACCTATTGAAAAACTTTAGT